GTAGGACTTCGTTGTGACAGTGGTGTTCTCCTTCATGTGGCTTGTGGGTTCTTCTGCTTGGGCTAAAGGACTATCTGATGTAAAGGTTGCCACTGACCCAGATGAAGTACTCTTACTGATGTCAGCTTGCAAACAACAATCCAATAAGTGCTTGCCTGTTTACAGCCCTGTTATGTCAAGTCTTAACACTTCAGTTGTGAGTATTCCTTTTATTTTGTAAAAAGAAAAGGGGGGGGTCTGAAATAAAATGTTTGGTGTCCTACAGAATCACTCAGCATTTGTCTTTTCTTCCTCTTCAGTTGGAATCCACCGTGAGTTTCTTATTTAACCTAATTCATTGGTTCTTCAAAGGATAATAAGATAATAATGGCATAAGCAGCTTTAAATAGACATAGTGTAAGCAAGTAGGACCGTTTTAAAAGATAATAATTGAACATTCTGGTTGTATTTAACAATCAAAGTGTATTTATCCTAGTAGTATGAATATGAAATAGATTTCTCCAGATATTATACAGAATCTGAGTCCCGTGGGGAGAAGGGCGGCATAGAAGTTAGTGAAATAAATAAATAAATAAATAAATAAATCTGGAGGAAAAAAGGCCTTTTAATCATCTAAGGCTGTTAATAGCTAACACTTATTATGGCACTGCAAAAAATTACTTTAGGAAAAAATAAATGATTGCCTCTAGTAACAATATCGCAAAGCCACAGATCCAACATCAAAGAACAAAACTCTTCTTTCAATTAAATGAAAGTTGTAAGCAATTTTCAGTTGATTATTGTTCGTTTATATTTCCTACTTCTACTATGTGAGTGACAGACTAATATTTGTTTAAACCACATCTTTGGAAGGTTTTCTGGACAAAAGTACCTTGAATTAATAAGTTGTCTTTGGAATTTTTTAAAAAGAAAAATCTCAATTATGTGAATAATCAAAAGAGAGAGAAAAAAAAAACTAAATGAAATTTAATGTCTTGCTCTGCTTTTTGTGTAGGTCTTTGGATTCTTGAACTTTGTTCTCTGGGCAGGAAATATCTGGTTTGTTTTTAAGGAGACTGGTTGGCATTCTTCAGGTTCAAGATATCCTCAAGATACCCTCGAGAAACAGTCCGGCAGCTATAATCAAGGTGGCTACAATCAAGATAGCTATGGGTCGAGTGGTGGGTATAACCAACAGGAAGACAATTTTGGGCAACAAACTAATTATGGCCAAGTTGATGAATTTGGCCAGCAACAACAGAGCTTTAACCAGAGTGGCCCAACTTCATTTACTAATCAAATGTAGCAACCGCAGAGCCCTTAATGTTGATCATATGTAGAAAGCTCAAACATGGTGATGATAGACAGCACATATTTGAGTGTTTGTAGATTCATGTGATGAAGAGTTTCAACTAATCCAAGGTCTATGAATATGAACTGCTGGAGATGGGTTGTGGCTCTTGTTTGTTTGTGAATGATGAAGTTCCCCCCCCCCAGTGGATGATGATGATGATGATGATGATGATGATGATGATGATGATGATGCATTCATCACAGTGGTGAAATGAAGTAACTAATTGTTATACGTATGGTAGAAATACCCTTACAGTAGCTTTGTACATGTATGGTAAGAATGTTTTGTACCCTTCAGTCTGTAGGTTAAAATATGCATAATATAATTAAATTAACATTAGCTTTTCTTCTGCATTTTGATGAGGCAAAATAAGTTTCCTATGATTTCTGAAGATTACTCTATATAGTTTTAGATTAGATTAGATAACCTTTATTGTCATTTTTTCCTGTGGGCACAATGGCACACATTAAAAATTAAATTTAGTTGCTTCCTCTCAAGGTGTACACATACATATATAGCACAAAGCATGCATTATATCTCCTATATTTTCTCCTTTGCTATCTGACTGCTAGTTTATACAATTCAATATTTTTTACTGATTAAAGTATTTATCTGATATTCTTCTTTATTAGAATGTTAGTAATGTATCTAAGTGCATGAAACCACATACTTTTCACAACAGAATATTATGACTGTGAACATGGAATTTTTCTCTATTTATATTTAATTGTTTTGCTAATATAACATTTTAGATAATGTATATATAACTAATTAATTTATTCTGTAGAGTTGGATCAATTACCCAAAATCTGAAATGTGTATCTAACAAAAATAGTTTTCCTTGAAAGGAAATTTTGAAGTATATAACAGTTCAATTGTTTTCTGCATATTAAGTTCAGTATTTGTTCCTAGAGCCATATTTATGTTGAAGTTATGTGATTCAATGGATATGATATATGGACCAAGTAACTGTGTTTACATCTTTACAAGGGTATTTATTTATTTAATTAGGATAACAGAGGTGCAGATATTGACACAACTACACTCTACAGCTATTGCAAAACATTACAAAAAGGTTTGTCCTATCTTGTCATCACTTGAGAAAAGTTTTTCTTTCTCAACTTCTATTCAGATCAGACATTCTGCTGACTGTTGAAATTGGTGCTACCTTTAAATAAAAAAGTGTCAAAAGTAGGATTTTAACAATGAAAAAGACACAGCCATCTCTTAACAGGGAGCATGATTAACTTAGAGATCCAGTTGCTCTCCAACTACATGTAATAATTTCAAGGGAAAATGTTCTTTTCAACAATTGAATGAGAGAGATCAAAATCAATGGGAAGAGAACAGAATCAAACTTTTGCTAAATTTTACTAAGCTTTATCTTCTCTTTATTCCAGCTACAGACAGATCCCAGGTACATAGTGTGAACTTCCCACTGTTAAAAATATATCTGTCATAAGGCAGACTGAACTTTGCCTTGATTGTTTTGAGATAGGTCCTTGACTGTTTTTGAAGGAAACTATCTTACAAATTGAACAAAACATTTGTTAGCTAACCAGTCTAGATGTCATTTGTATATAAAGTGAAAGCAAACCCCCTCCTTTCTAGCACTGGTGATTTTACCTAACTGGCTAATGAAACATCTGCATGAAAACAATCAAGTTCAGATAACATTAAGGACCCCACAGTCTAGTTGTGTATCTCTGTTGAGTGATTGTGCATCTATTGTAAGGAATAGGGGGAGGGTAAGAACTGGATCTCTACCTTGCCATACATTTATCAGACTGAACAGCTTATAGCTGGAGTGAGAAACAATTAAGAACTGCCAATTTTGCATACACGCTGGAGTCTGTACACAAACAAGGCTCATTTTTTTCTTATTCTATTTGCAGCCTAAAGGAGAACATACCATAAAACCGGAACATCTGCATTTCTAAACAAAAGTGTTTCTGCCTATAATATCATTGTATGAGCTGTAAATGTTCAAAGCATCATTTAGCATAAAGCAGCATAGTCAGTTGTATGATTGTTGTAACCAATGTACGGCTGCTTCGTGAATAAGTTAATATTGTGGTATAATTATTTGATCTCAATAAATAAAGTGTATTGCATACAAAACTTGTCTGAAGGTTATGGTGCTGTTACAAAAGTCTAAACTAAAGCAACATTCAAGTCCATACTCACAGAATGACAGTGAATAAGATGATAAGATAAGATAAGATAAGATAAGATAAGATAAGATAAGATAAGATGATAACCTTTATTGTCATTTTTTTACTGTGGGCACAACGGCACACATCAAGAATTAAATTTAGTTGCCCGCTTTCAAAGTGAAACACATACATGACACACACCTAAACATACTATGTACAACATTTGTTGTTTCAGTCAGCAGATAAAATAGGACCTCAAAATTGGCAAGCACATTTTGTTAAAAAAATTAGGCCTTGCTAAAACTTAGGGTTAAACCAGTGTCTTCTGTTGGATCCACTTAGACAAGATGGGAGATTCAGACAGACTGAAGTATAATAACATTGCAGGAAAAACAAGAAGAGAAACCATTTGATAATGAGTGGGCTGAAAAACTAGATGACAAAGGACATTGTTTTATATAAAGTATTTGACATTCATTGGTTGGGTATTATTACAGTTATTTCTAAAAGTTTTATTTCTAGGAGGAGATGTATGCATGTATGTATTTCCCTTTATTATTTTTACAAATAGCTCAAGCTGGTGAACATATCCAATATACTTTCCTCCTCCTATTTTTCCCACAACAACAATCCGCTGATGTGTTTTGGGCTGACAGAGTGACTGATCCAAAATCACCCAACTGGCTTTCATGCCTAAGCGGGACTAGAACTCACAGTCTCCCAGTTTGTAGCATGGTGCTTTAAACACCAGATCAAACTGGGTCTCTTATAACTTGTTATTTTCCAGATGCTTTTGATAATAATAGCCATAATCTCTTCTGGTTAGGTTTATGGAGTTGTAGTCTAAAATATCTGAATGGCCCAGGTTGCTGTTTTCTGTTGTAAAAAATAGCATATTATTGGAGGGAGAAGGAAAGCATATATTTTCATTCATTTAGGGCAGGGGTGTGAAACTTGCAACGTCACGTGACGTGTTGCGATGTATCATGACTTTTTTGCCATTGCCGGCAATGGAGGGGGCGCGGTTTCGCTATGATGCATCCGGCCCGTGGGTCGGCAGTTTGACACCCCTGATTTAGGGCATTAGAAGGACATGGGAAAGCCTTTCAGGATCAGACCAATGGGGTCAATGTGATCACTATCTGAGTATACATAGAACAGGTGTGTCAAACTGCCGGCCCATGGGCCGGATGCATCATAGCGAAACCGCGCCCATCCCATTGTCCGCAATGGCAAAAAAAGTCATGATATGTCGCGACACGTCACGTGACGTTGCGAGTTTCACACCCCTGACACAGAATCACATTGGTGCATGGAGAGTCGGCCTGGACAAGTGATTCTGATCTCAGCCCAAGTTTGAAAACTGTCCTCAGAACCTCACTGAGTGACTTTGAACCAGTCATTATCGGTGCAGTCCCAGGGTGTTTTTTGATTTCAATTTTTTTTATTTTTCACCATACACCATACACCAAAAACTACATAAACATAAATCTTTTTTTCTAACAGAACAGTGCTTTACATGTTAAATATTCTTTACATCTTATTTACATTTTATATACATCAATAATTATGTCTTTTTCTTTCTCTGTTCTAGCCAATTATAACATTTATTCCAAATTTCATAAAATTCTGACGTCTCCTTGTCTTTTAATTCTAGCGTAAGTTTGTTCATTTCTGCGCATTCCAAAATTTTATACATAATCATATCATTTGTGGGAATATTTTCACTCTTCCAACATTGCGCATATGCTATACGAGCTGCAGTCAATATGTGTATAATGATGTGTTGGAGTTGTTTTTCCATCTTTAAATTTATTATGCCCAAAAGAAATATTTCTGGTTTGAAATCCATTTATATCTCAGTTATCTCCTGTATCCAATCTCTTATCTGTTCCCAATAATTTTTTACTTTGGGGCACAGCCACCACATGTGATAAAATGTTCCTTCTTTAATTTTATATTTCCAACACTTCGGGTCTATGTTTTTATACATTTTGGCCAATCTCGCCGGTGTTAAATGCCATCTGTAAATCATTTTATATTTGGGGTGTTTTTTGTGAGGATCACATGAAAGGGAGCCACTCTGGAAGAAAAGCAGCTTGTATGTCTATGAATAAATAAAGCTAAACCTGTCCAACTCTCACAATCAAGGCACAACAGTTGTATCAAAGAGATATAAAATTCCTATTCTCAAACATCCCTTAATACATTCTGGCTCACATTTACCTTAAAAATATGTTCAAAATCTATATAATCTCATCTATGGGATTGCTCAGCCCAACCTGTCTCACAGGTGTGTAGTGTGGGGATAAAAATAAAAGGCAACCCCTACGTAAACTGCATTCAGTTTCTGGAGAAAAAGTGAATTATAGATCAAACGAACAAGCCTGAGAATGAATTTCCTGAAGAGAAATGAAATACTCAGTGCCCTCCCATATCTATGCTGTTGTCTGGCCAAGAAGCTGAACAAAGGAATGAAAATAGCTCAACAAAATAGGTTTTTTTGTGTGTGTTTTTAAAAAAAGCTGTAGTCTAAGATCTTTTGAAATTTTTGATATAGACATTAAGACCGTTCATTATTGTTTAAGGCAAAAGGGAGCTCCAATTCTTTGCTCCATCCATTCTTTAAAAGTTACATGTCAAAGTGATATATTTATTGCAAGCACTTATAAACACTAAGGGTAGGCTTTTTAGTCTCATAGGTTTTAGTGACCACTTATACAAATTAGATGTTTCTGAAGCATCTGTTCCAAATCAAAATGTCACCAGATGCTGTAATTGTAAATACAGCCAGTG